CAATGAAACCAGTAATTGAGCTTCTTCAGAAAGAGCTCGGCGATACAGTCCCACCAATAACAGATAAATTCTTTGTTTGGATGTGCTTTCGCTTCCCACGATTGAAGGAAGAGCACAGGATTTACTTCAAAGATGAAGCTAAGAACGCAATGCCAAGCGTGGAATCACTCCAACCAATCTTGGAGCTTTATCGTAAAAACAAAGCTCAACTAATCAAAAAGCATATCGAGCAGTGGCTGCAGAATGAAAAAGATGTGTTTCACTTCGCAAATCATATCGCTTCTGCTTTAGAATTCTTCGCTCAAAAGTCCCAGACAGCCATATTAAGACAGTTGCGAGAAGACGTTGAACGCTTTTCCAATGTAGTTTCCGACTACGGCCTCGGAAAGACCCCTAAGAAGATGATGTTGGACTTGGTCAACAGAACAACTATCTTCATAGGAAATCTGACCGCAGAAGCAGTTGCCAATAACCATGTTAATAACAAAACACAATTTAGGATGAAAGGAGGCTCGGTGATGAAAATAGATGGAGGAATGCACGGTGATGGAGCAAGTTTCCTAACCTGGTATGAGCTGTACATGAACTTTTCTCTGCCTGATGGGAGCAAAGTCGAATTACCAAAAACAAATTTTATGGACTTATCGGGATCAATAGAGCACAAAGGTTTTATCAAGAGGCTTAGTCTTATTACTGAAATCCTTCAAGAATGCATAGATGAGTCCATGAAGGACGAGGAAAACATCCCAAAAATAGGAAACATCTTCACATTCTATTATTTCCTCCAAGTGATGCAGTTTTCAAAAATCAAGAGTTTTTTTCAATTTTACCTACTAGATCCTTTTGAATCTGAAGAAAGCGCATCAGACACAGATCTCTCTGACTTTGACTCTGACTAAAACCACGAGCACATAAATTCACACGGCAAATGCTATTGTATTATTAGTATTCTGAATAGTAGTAAAGGTCATGGAAATGATATAAACTTGTGTTGAGTAACCAAAGTATCTGAAATGCCACACAAATGCTGCAATATTTTCTAGGACACAAACAAACAAAAAACTGAAACTTGCCAAGCAACCGCGCAACAACAAATACAATATTGAAACAGCACCTACAAAAGTGCTTAAAAAATGACTTTAAGGTCACGAATCTGGCAGCAAATAAAACAAAAAATTGAGAAACACAGATTTTTGTTCGTATATGATGATTATTATTTATGSCTAAAGCTTTCTAAATGTTTCCTATTCAGTGATGATGTTGTGTGAATCACACCTATATTATATCCTCCTACAATTGAATGGTTTCACTGTGATCTTGTCTTCTAGAATAGTAGGACTCTAAATCGTAGGATCTACTATGTGTATGGCATCACTAAGCAGTCTCAAAAGTAATGCCAATGCTAAATTTTATTCACCTGAGAATGACCATTTTGTGATCTTAACTTGAATGCCACAGCTTATGACATTTTATGCTCATTTCACTTCAAAASCCTTGTTATATTACTAGTTGTAGCAATTACGAATGGTTATGGGCCGGGCTCCCTGTATGTTTATAAGGAACGCCTGGCGGTAAATGCAAAGAAGCTCATTCAYATGCTRAGACRAARTTAGGTTACGGGTCAGTTCTTTCTGTTACGTAAATAATCTGATTGAAAATGGAATCGATATCGATTTTTTCGCTTAATGATGATTGTTTGGGTAACATTTTGTCTCATTTAACCGATTTYAGCTCGTTTYACAGCTTCTCTTTGACTTGCAAACTGTTCAACCAACTGGCTCTAAGTAAAAGGAACTGGCACATTAATGTCCTCAAGAGACAAGCTGATTTTTWCATCAGAAAATTCATAGTTTACAACGATGAGGACCGCGCATACAATTCAAGACAACAACTTCGTTCTCTACTCGAAAAAGCCAATCGATGCTGCATTGATGATCTTTCTTACAACGATGTCCTCAATGTGTGGAAATCATGCGGTCCCGTCGCTGCCACGTTTTATTCGTGGATCAAATCTTCAAATTCAGTTACGCGAGACGAAGGACCAAGAGAAACATGTTCAACAGAATACACTGAACAGACCTTCCATTTGCCAGTCTGTGGTCAAGACTTATCGATTAGGACATCCCACTTTGTGGATTATATTGGGAACTACGACCGAGAAACGAAATTGAAAGTTTCATGCGGTGATTTAGCTATCGAAAATGAAGTTTATAAGATTATCCCAGAGGACTATGATTATTGGGATGAGCAGGAACTGAGAGCAGTCGTGGACCCAATGAAACCAGTAATTGAGCTTCTTCAGAAAGAGCTCGGCGATACAGTCCCACCAATAACAGATAAATTCTTTGTTTGGATGTGCTTTCGCTTCCCACGATTGAAGGAAGAGCACAGGATTTACTTCAAAGATGAAGCTAAGAACGCAATGCCAAGCGTGGAATCACTCCAACCA